TTTTTTTTTTTTTTTTTTTTTTGTGTTTCTAGCTTGTGTTTTGTTTTTTTTTGTTTCCGGGTTTGTGTTTCTAAGATTTTCATATGTAGCTTTCAACAAATCCTTATGTTATTTTTCTTTGTTTGTATGACATCAATTCCTGGTTTTCTCCTTGTGATATATCTCTGTATTGCCCTTAACATTATATCCGTAAGTCAGTAGAGTCTCGTTAGTTTTATTTAAAGATTTATTTATTTATTTTGTTGAAATCTATATAAAATTAAGATTATCTTCCTTTCGAATTCTGCAAACCCTTCACCTCCTTCATCTGTGTTGGACATACCCGCCTTATTGTTCTAGTTTTCTTTTCTTTTCTTTTTTTCTTTTTTCTTTTTTCTTTTTTTTTTGTTGTTGTTGTTGTTGTTGTTATCTAGGGAATTAGTTTTAAGTATGAAAGATCTTTTCTCCTAAAATCAATGCACAATTTTTTGTTGAGTTGGAGTGTTGTAGAGAAATTATCAATTCATGTATGGCTGATATTTTTATTGTTAATGCTTTGTACATGTGACAAAAGCATCGGACTTTGGTGAGGAGAATAGTTTTAAAGGCTCCATCAATAGAGGTAATCAATATTCCATTCCCTTTTTTTTTCCCCTTCTATTTTTTATTTTTTATACATTCATGTTGTAAGTTGATGAATAAATCTTTTACTCGATTTCTCTAGTTCAAAGACCAACTTCTTCATGTCACTTCGAATAAATTACAACATATTTCCTGTTATTTTAATTAAATTTATTATTATTCATTCCATTCTAAGGATTTGGGTATAATTTTGCAATAATTGAAGTTCAAAATAATTGGTTTTACCACTATAAAATTTCTGCTATCACAATGTTCACCAAATGCTTGATAAATTGTTTGATCGTAAAACCATTTTCATATGTTCACCAAATGCTTAATAAATTGTTCCCCAATTTGATTTGTTTGATGTGTTTATTAATTCACAGGGAATGGAAGTGAAGGGAGATTAATCGAATGATCAAACTTTTGGTTGAGGAAAAAGTTCCCCTTTGCCAAACTTTTGACTGGGGTGAGGAAAAAGTTCGCCTTTGCTTGACTGGGTTGAGTTTATGAATTTATCTATTTTTTGGATGATGTTCTCTTTGCTAATTATTTTTATTATTATTTATTGTTTTGGGGAAAGACCAAAAAAATTGGCAATTTTTTGTTTTTTGTTTGCATTACTTCTAAATAGTTTGAATGCTCTCAATTGGATCTTAGTTGTGAGTTAATGAAATCTTTCTTTTGAGATTGTGGTTTGAAGATTTTTGAAATGGACGCTCCTTGCTAGGGATGTAAGAAAAACCGAAAAAACCGACCAAACCGATTGAACCGGACCAAACCGGCTATATTTGGTCTGTTTTTTAACAAGAATCGTTCTGTGCGGTTTCTAAATTTGATTTTTTTTTGGTTTTCGGTTCGGTATCGGTTTAAGCACCTTGTGCACCGATCTAAACCGAAACCGACCGCTTCAACATATATTGTATTTATAATATATATATATATAATCTAATAATATGATGATATTAATAAGTATAATAAATTATTAACCTTAATTAATTAACCTTATCATCTTTATAATCTAAGTTTGTAAACTCTTATTATATATAATTTTAACTCCAATTCATTATTCTTGAAACCTTAGTATTTTTAAACTTTTTTTTGTTTTTGTTTTGTTTTTTTTTTTGTTTTTGTTAATTTAGGAATTAAAAAGTATGTATTAAATGAATGGATTAGATATGTTTGAAATAGTAGACAAATAACTAATTTAATAATTTTATATAGATTAATGATTATATTTAAAAGTGGCTCAAGTTTGAGAAATCTTAAACTGATTAAACCGCACCAAACCGAACCGTTTCAATTGGTTTGGTTTGATGGGAGAAACGGTCTGTATCGGTGTTCAAAATAATAAAACTGACATTATCAGTTCGGTGTAATTTTTTACCTAAATACCGACCGTACCTAACCGATTGCATCCCTACTCCTTGCATTTGCATTGTGGTGCCGAAGATATCCATGAAGGTTATTAAAGAAGAGCCTTTTTCTTGGTCAGTAAATCTCTCTTTTTCCCTATATATGGATGTGTTTCTGTTAAAACATTTTTTTTCATATATAGTAGTTTCCTAGGTGAAGGCCACATGTGTTTGGGTGCATAAATATTTGCTACGTAGATTAAAAAACAGAAAGGGTGTGTGGGTGTGGGATGAGGGGGAGTAAAGATCAAGGGAGGCAAAAACTGCAGATAAATGAATAAAATGGAGTGAAGTGTTTTGAAAAGAGCGCTTAGGCGTGCGCCTAAGCCCAAGGCAAGATGAAGTGCATCATTGCGCCTCAAGCATGGCGAGGCGAGGTGCAGATGAGGTGACGAAGCGCACGCCTTATTATGAAGCTTGAGGTGTGCACTTCGAACTTATTTCACTCCAACAGCACCATTTGTTTACTGTGTGGATACCCACATGGGATGACATATCATTTACATTATAAATGATACAAACGTGGGTCAACCGAGCAAAAACATTTAAAAAAGCCCTAGTGGAGAAGAAGAAGAAGAAGAAGAAGAAGAAGAAGAAGAAGCGACGTGAAGAAGAGTATACGACACACCAAATACACAAGTTCTCTTCTCCTCTCTCTCTTCTTCTCTTCTCTCTTCTCTAGTTCTCTTCTCTTCTGGTTCGACTATTCTTCTCCTCTCTTCTCCTCTTCTTCTTTTCTCTCTCTTCTCTAGTTCTCCTCTCTGCCTCTGTTATACCCTATTCTTTTTTTTTTTGCTTCATTCTTTTCTTCTGGTTCGATTCTTCTCATCTTCTCCTCTAGTTCGATTCTTCTCCTCTTCTTCTCTTCTCTCTCTTCTCTGCCTCTGTTATACTCTGTTTTTTTTTTTTTGGGCTTCATTCTTCTCTTCTGGTTTGACTGTGCTTCTCTTCTCCTCTTCTTCTCTTCTTGTCTTCTTCTCTTCTCTAGTTCACTTCTCTGCCTCTATTCTACTCTGTTTTTTTTTTTTTTTGGCTTCATTCTTGTCTTCTGCTTTGACTGTTCTACTTCTCTTCTTCTCTTCTCTCTCTTCTCTGGTTCTTTTTTCTGCCTTTGTTCTACGCTCTCTTTTTTTTTTTGCTTTACTGTTTTGGTCTTCTTCCCTTCTCGTCGTTTTCTCCTCTTCTCTACTCTGCTCTAATTTGTTCTTCTTCTCTTGCTCTTTTTTTTTTCCTCCTCTATTTTACTTTGTTTTTTTTTCCCTGTCAAAAAAATAATAATAATAAAATGAACACTGAATCGGTGCTTATAGTCTCAATAGGTACATACATAATAAATGACAACACCCGAGGGTGGAAAAAAAGATCCGGCATGGAAGTATGCAACAATGGTAAGTCCTGAAAATCTAAGCAAGTTCAAGTGTAATTTCTGTGGAAAAGAGATGAATGGGGGTGTTTTCCGAGTTAAGCAACATCTTGTTGGAGGGTATAGGAATGTAATTAAATGTCTTAGATGCCCAACTGAGGTTAGTAATGAGGTGGCCGGTTATATGGCTAAAAAAAAAGCAACTGAAGGATCAAATGAACTTGATGCCTGACTTTGATGAAATGGTCAACGAAGAAGATTTTGAGGATGAGGATGATGTTGTAGAAATCTCTCTACATGGTAAACAGCCTATTCCTATTCACGGTTCTACTCGAAAAACTACCTCTGCTTCTATTCAATTGAAACCTAAAAAGCCTAGGAAGATAGGGCCCGTGGATTGTTTCTTCACACCTGAGCCAGAGTCAGTGGTGCAAAAAAAAAAAAAGGCAAGGGAAAGCAAATTAAAATTGATGAAAATGAACCTTATAGAAAAGAGTTAACGGAGAGGGCCTATGTTAGAATTGCAAGATGGATATATGATATTGGAATTCCGTTTAATTTAGTCAATAATGAAAGTTTTGCACCAATGATTGAAGCCATAGGACAATTTGGTCCAAGTTTGAAACCACCAAGTTACCACATGATACGGATTCCTTATCTCAAGAAAGATGTGAATCATGTCCATAAGTTGATGAAGAAGCACAAAGAGGATTGGGCAAAGTATGGATGTTCTATAATGTGTGATGGGTAGACGGATAGGAAGCATAGAACTTTGATTAATTTCTTGGTGAATTGTCCTAGAGGAACCATGTTTCTTGAGTCTATTGATGCATCTAGTTACTCAAAGGATGCAAACAAGAAAATTAACTTGCTTGACAAGTTTGTTGACAAAATTGGAGAAGATAATGTGGTCCAAATTGTCACTGACAGTGCTGAAGCAAATGTATTGGCAGGTTAAATCCTCTAGCTCTATTGCAAATAGTGTGCTTTTGTTTTGGTTCTATTTGTTAAACTAGTATGTTATAAACTTGCAACTTCTAATCTTATAGGGAAGTTTTCGGAGGCAAAGAGACCCCACTTGTATTGGACACCTTGTGCAACCCATTGCTTGGATTTAATGTTGGAAGACATTTTCAAATTACCCAATTTTAAGAAGACATTTGAAAGGGAAATTGGGGTACACGGTTATATTTATAATCGTCCATCTTTGTTGAATATGATGAGGAGTTTTACTCAATTGAGGGAGTTAGTGAAGCCTGCTAAAACCCGATTTGCAACAGCTTTCTTAACTTTGCAAAGACTTTATCAACAAAGGAACAACTTGAGGAAGATGTTTACTTCGGAGGAGTGGACCAAAAGCAAATGGGTGAAGGAGCCGCAGGGTAAGAAGACAGCTCAAATAATGCTAATGCCTTCATTTTGGAATCATGTTCACCTTGCCCTTCAGTTTTCATGTCCTCTTGTTCATGTACTAAGAATGGTTGATGGTGAAGAAAAGCCTCCAATGGGATATATTTACGAGGCTATGGATAGGGCTAAAGAAGCTATTGCAAATGCATTCGATGGAAAGGAAGAGAAGTATAAAGAGATCTTTGAAATCATTGATCAAAGGTGGGACATTCAATTGCATCTTCCTTTGCATGCTGCTGGGTTTTATTTAAATCCTAGTTTGTTTAACAAAGATCCAAATGCTGCAAAAGACAAAGAAGTCATGATAGGCCTATATCAATGTATATCAAGGTTGATCCCAACACTAGAGGTCCAAGATAAAGTTTGTGCAAAATTAGCTAAGTATGAGAAGGCTGAAGGACTTTTTCAGATGGCAATTAGACAAAGAAGTACAAGGGTACCAAGTAATCATTTACAATGTTCTATTCTAGTAGTCAATACTTTTTACTTCAAAATGTTTGCTAAGTGCTAACTAATTATCATGATCAGCTGATTGGTGGAGTTCTTTTGGTCATGAAACTCCTTATTTGCAAAAATTTGCCATCAAAGTACTTAGTCTTACTTGTAGTTCATCTGGCTGTGTGAGAAATTGGAGTGTGTTTGAACATGTGAGCACCCGCTGTCAAATCTAGTAGTGAATTCCAAAAACAAATTCAGTTATATACAAATTTAAATGCTTTTTTATTTATTGTTGCAGCTTCATAGCAAAAAAAGAAATAGGCTGGCTCAAAAACGTCTCAATGACTTGGTGTTTGTGAAGTATAATAGAGCATTGAAGCGTCGATACATGAAACGTTCCAATATTGATCCCATCTCTTTGAAAGATATTGATGAGAGTAATGAATGGCTGATTGGGAGGATAGAGAATGAGCTTGTGTTTGATGATGATTCTTTGGGGTGGGATGATGTTGCTGTAGCTGCTGAAGTTGAGGAGAGTAACCAAAGAACTAGATCAAGCACAACTAAGACAACACACCAACAACTTGTAGATGAAGAAGATGAATGGGAAAATGAAGATGAAGAGGAGGATGCGGATGGATACAAATCCAATGATGATGATGGAGGAGATGAAGTTCTTCATGCTGATGATGATGTCTATTAAGTTTTGAGTACAATCAGGCAACTATAGGACTTACATATTTTCATTTCCTTTTTGAACCACAAGTTAGAAGCTTAGTTGCAGTGAATTATGTGGATGATGATTTTAGTACATAAGGTTTTTGGTGGATGTGAATGTCATACTTTATACCTTTTGTTGGATAATATACTTTTTAATATACTACATACATTTGTTATGTTAAAAATTTTGCCTATTTTATAATTTTGCATTGCTTTTATTATGTGCGCCTCGCTTTGGTGAGGTGTACGCCTCGCTTTCGCGCCTCGCGCTTAGGCTACAGGAGACCTTATCGCCTCGGTGCACCTGGAGACTTTTAAAACACTGAGTGAGACAAATTGCTTCTTGAAAAGTTATGTACCTAAGTGCTGAATTCCATGTCTCTAAAATACTGACATGCTCAATGTTAGAATTAAATATATTTGCTGAATCATTAGTGCTTGATGATGGAGGGAGGCATTTATAAACATTAGTGCATGATGATGTGTTTAAGAGCTAAAATTTAATAATGTGTTTAGAACTTTCAATTAGTGCTTGATGATTTTTGCAATTATTATAAACAGTGCTTGTTGTTTTGTGATTAGTGTAATCCATATACAAATATGCTTGATCGGAGGGTTAATTGATTGCCCAAAGAGAGGTGGTTTTGTTGATTAAGGTTTAGTTTCTATTTCTTTTACTTTCTATTTTTCTCTTTTTCTGTAATCACTACAAGAAAAAACACATTCGGCGACCAAATTTTCCAACTAAAAATAATTTGGTCACTGAAAGTATAGCTTTCAGCGACTAAAAAAGCATTAGTAGCCAATTGTGAAGTTTTTTGGTGACTAAAAAAATTTAATAGCCAAAAGTCTACAATTGGTGACTAAAAATAAGTTTGGTCGCCAATTATATGGGTTTTACCGACTAAAATATTTTTAGTAGCCAAAAGTATAATTTTTGCCGACTAAAAAAAATTTACTAGCCAAAAAGGCAACAATTGGCGACTAATTATAATTTTGGTCGCCAATTATGTGGGTTTTACCGACTAAAACATTTTTAGTAGCCAAAAGTACAGTTTTTGCCGACAAAAAAAAATTTAGTAGCCAAAAAGTCTACAATTGGTGACTAATTATAAGTTTGGTCGCCAATTATGTAGGTTTTACCGACTAAAACATTTTTTAGTAGCCAAAAGCAAGTTTTTTGGCGACTAAAAAAAATTTAGCAGCCAAAAAGCCTACAATTGGCGACTAAAAATATGTTTAGTAGCGAAAAGTGGTCTTTTTTTAGCGTGAAAGTCTCTTCGGCAACCAAAATGATTTTGGTCGCTAAAAGTTAAATTTTTATTGTTAATTTGCTACTAAATAATTTATTTTTACATAAATTATGTCAATAAAAATAATTATTTTTATACATATACTTTTATATTAATACGGGTCTATGTACTATATAAATAATATATAGTACATATATAATCATGTGGTGCTATAGAGGCGTAGTGGGAAGTGTGTGGTGCATAAGGTTTATGGTGTGGGAGGTTAGTGATTCGAGTCTTTATAAGAGCGGATGCAAAGCTTAACAATGAATTATTTTTTTTCACGGATGAAGCTTTTGGCGACTAAAAATGTTAGTCGTCGTTTGGTAGCTTTTGGCGACTAAAGATTTTGGTCGGCGATTCCTTGACTATTGGCGACGAAAACATGGTCGGTGAATGTATGATTTTAAAGAAATATAATTGACTATTGGCGACCAAAATTTTGGTCGCTAAAGAGTACCTTTTTGCCGACCAAAGGCTTTTTAGTTGGCAAAACCTTCCCCTACAGGTTTTTGGCGACAAATGTAGCAACCAAAATTTTTTGTCGCAGAATGGTTTTGGCGACCAAAAAGCAGACAATTGGCGACCAATATTTTAGTAGCTAAAAGTGACCTTTTTGTAGTGAATTGGTTTATTACCTAGGCTTTGGCAAGAGAGAAGTGTAATATGAAGAGTCCGTGACTTATGCTTTGGAAAGTGAAATGAGTGTTGTAACTAACTAATATTGCAATCACTGAGACTTAAGAGTAATATGTTCATGAGTTTGCTAATCATACAATTTATTTATTTAATTGATACATTTTTCTTGCTAGACTTTGGGCTTTGATACACTTTTCAATTTGCACAATGGAAGTGAGTGGCAGTGAACGACTTTTCTTTCCATGCCTTTTCTTTTTAAACATTACCTATCAATAGTTGACATGAGAGATTGTTGGTTAATATTGCAATCACTGAGATTATATTCCTTTTGAATTTAAGTCGAAGTTCAAATGAGACCAACCTCCTCAATTAGAATAAGAAGAATTGATAACCTGGGTAAAAATAACAGTGATGCTATAAGAAAGAAACAATTTTTCATTGAAATTATTTTGTGAATAAATTTTTCATATACTACATAAAAGATTGGACTGGAGAAGATTAATCCCAAAACTATATTCACCGTGCCTTTAGGCACAAGCATACACTAGTAAATAAATAAAATACAATGTGTTTAATTATATGCATCGCACAGATCAAATTAAACACTCTCTACTATTGATGTCTTAATATTAATTTATATACAATTTTCTATTTAACATGAAATTATTTATTGCAAAACATTTATGTTTAATTTAAATTTTTTATAATATATACAATATGTATGAATAATTCAAAAAGAATATTAAAGAAAAAAAAAACAGCACTCTACATATTTAATTTATATATTTTCTTCTTAATCCAATCACAACATATTTATATTTAATCCTTCAAATAAATTTTTTGTAATTCTATTTGAACATATTTTTATTTTCCAAATAAATATAAAAATAAAAATAATATTAAATACATTTTCCCTTTCAAAATTCTTCTCCAAATCCTATAGCGACCTCGGTCTTTTCCCATTCGATTATTGTATCTGGACATAGGTTCCGTAGATTCTGTCATTGTATAATTGTTGTTGTCATTCTTTATTTTCTTATTTGGAGTTATAGGATGTGTTGGGCAGGTTTGTTTCAGGTTGGTTGGGTTCGGAAACCAAGTGTTGCTGTCCAGTTTTTGGGTTGGTCGCTCGAGCGAGTACTTGGTCGCCCGAGCGAGGTTGTATTTTGTGTTTGGTGGCTCGAGCCAGATTTTCTTAGCTCGAGCGAGAGATTGCGTCTAGTATGGACCTGTAGCATTGCATTCTTGGCTCGAGCGAGCTTTTCTTTGCTCGAGCGAGGATTTCTTGTGTCTGGTCGCTCGAGCGACCAAGTCTTCGCTCGAGCGAGCCTGTCCAGTTTAATTAGACAGCAGCGGGTTTTTAATCAGTTTTTCATCCTCTTTTTAGATTCCAAACCCTAAGGTCCGACTTCTCTCTCACCCTGCTCACCTTCTCTCTTAGATTTGATCCACTTAGGGTGTGTTTCTACCCTAGATCCTTCATTAAAAAGAATGTGTGAGTCGAGGGCTTCGTTTAATCTGAATTGTTGGTAGTTTGGAGCACTTTGGATTTGGGTATTCATCTCTGTCTTCTCCATTCGGGTTATTTTCTTCGAGGTAGGGATTTCCTACTCCATCTTATAAGTTTTGTTCTAAGTTTTGGTATTTTGATATGTTGGGGATACTTTGGTAATTTTGGGAAAAACCCTAGTTGTATTAATAAATTAATTTGTATAATTAATTTAAGGGAATTGAGGAATTCATTGATTAAATGGTGTAGTTGGATAATTAAAATCACTTGCCTATTGAATTGTTGATATATTTATTTCCAGTCTAGAAATAACTATTTTTGGGCTATCGGTGGAGGATAGTCGTGTTTGTTGTAGACATTGCATGTGGATTAGGGAAAATTGAAACTAATCAATTTGTTTAAGTCATAAATTTAGACTATCAAATTAATACAGAAAATACATGTATTGATTGTGTGTTGTATATGACGAGTGTTTAATACACTCTAAACCGGATTTTGTTTGGGAGGAGATAGGGGATGGACTCCATTAGCATCACTTTTATGTGTGCTTATTTATATTGAAGTGTTTTAATTGATACAGCACTAAAATGTGTATCAAATTGGAAGTATGAAGTGTTTTGATTTGAGCCTGAGTCTCATCTGTTTGTCGACATTGGAAGAATGAGAATGTAATATATATAGTTCACTGTTGTAAGTTTGGCCAGGTTCTGAGCCATATTGATAAAGTTGGATAGTAAAACGTGTCTTAGTCAATAGTGTCATGAGACTGTAAAATGATGTAATTGATTATCTTGGTTAACCATCTATTGAATGCTATTCCTTTAATCAATGCTTATATTTGGTTTAGTATATTTCTACTGGGCTGTGGCTCACCCTTTATGGGAACATCATTTTCAGGTCCAGGTGATAAGCTACCTCCAAGGACTTAGCTTGGAAGGATTTGGATTTTGAAGACTATCTTTAGTTATTTGTTTTTATTTGATAAACATTCAAGCCTAGGGCTTTATCTGTATTTGAGTTAGAACTCATATTTTTGTGTCCAAGTGTTGGCTTGGAAAGATGTAAGCCCATAGGGCATTTAATTTGATAGTACAAGTAATGTTTTCTTTTTGTAATACTCTGATGAATGAGATGATGAGTTGGTTTCTTTTAATATTGCATGCCAATAATATATATATTATGGGTTTATTTTGAGGGCGTGACAAATCCTCCAACCAATCACAGCCTTGGAAATTGACAAATTCAGAACCCAATGTTGCACAAATAGACTCAATTTTCCAGGGAATTCAAGTCCATAATTGGCAGATTGGTTTCAATCCAAGCAATTATAGGGTTTCAGATTCAGCTTTCCTGACAATATGTCCAACCATATTTTGCTTCCACCATCCATCATGCCATTTACAACTATTTCCATTTATACAAACAATGGGGAAAAATTTCCCAAACCTCGGCAGTCCAGTTAAAGGTAATATTTTTTATGACTAATAACACAAACATGGCCTATGTATAAATCTAATCCCTCTGATAGAAAACCAGCCACTT